TTGTAACGTTTGCCCATCAGAGAGGAACATCTGTCAACTTTCTCCTCATGTGTTTGATGCAACCAGATCTCTGTTTTTAAACCGTGTCCGGCCTCATGTTTCAGTTCTTAAGGAAGATGTTAAAACCTGCCTCTGAGATTTTGCTCCATGTTGACATGACTCATCACATCACAGAGTTGTCAGGTGCTAATCTCCCGTTTCACTGCATCCCAAAAGGCGTTCGGCTGGATTCAGACGCGCCGGCTTAAAAGGCCGCTGAACCAGTTTGAAACAACTTTTGGAAGCAGCAATTAAAAGACAGCAGACTCGGTAACGGCAGTCAAACGGGCCCAGCGAGCGCCAAGAAAACATTCCCAGCATCAGTACACCAGCAGCAGTCTGGACTGTTGACACGAGGAGGGTCGACTCCATGGATGATGCTAAATACTGCAAAAAATGGAGACTCATTGGACAAACGTCTGCTGCTGCAGCTCGTGACGGGACACGGTTGTAAAAACTGGTCACTGGGCTCTCTTCTTAAAGTTGAATCATCAGTTGGAAGAACCCTGATAGAACTCGGGCCCTTTTAGAGATGAGATACGCAACAGGACTGCTTCATTAATCTGCTAAATCAGGGGTGTCCAATCCTGGTCCTCCAGATGTGTCCCTCTTCCAACACACCTGATTCAAATGATCAGGATCGTTCTCAGGCTTCTGCAGAGCTTCATGATGGAGCTGATCATTTGAATCAGGTGTGTTGAAAGAGGGAAACATCTAAAACATGCAGGACTGTGGCCCTCGAGGACCAGGATTGGACACCCCTGTGCTAAATCATCCAGACAAACCAGACGGAGAGAGCAGCTGGAAAACACCAAAAACATGATCACAACTCATCTGCAAATCACAAGTCCGTGCTCGGTCCGAGTGTTTTGAGTCTCCAGCTGAGATAATTCAGCTAAAAATACAGAGAAATGTCAACACACAGCTCACCACAGAGACTAAATATCACAAGCAAATGATGCACAAATCTGTGAAAGAAACTGCACAGCAGGAGCTCTGATAAACAATGAGTTCATTCAGGGCCAAGCGAATAAAAAAACAAAAACCACTCCGAAACAGAGCTGCCATTTTCCTCGTCTCCCTCCCGGTTTTATGTAGGCTGCGTAACCACAGGCTACACATTCCACCAAGAGCTCAAAGCAGCCAAAAGTTTGCTCAGCGGCATGTTTAGCCCGAAGTGAGACCCAGTTTCTGAAGCGTCTCTGGCGAAATAAACACCACCCGACAGAAAGGAAACAACACAGAGGTGAAAGTGTTGTTCCTTCTTATCTCTCCTACAAATGTACTCTACTATTTACATGATGTGTTGATATGAACATTTGAATATCTCCAATAAACCAACAGTCATGAGGGTGTTCGTTCCGTCCTCTGCGCTCCAAAAAAAAACAAAGCAACCTCGGCTAACCTTGATGATTAGAAACGCTGAGAGAAGCACCTTAAAGCCAGATTTCGGGTCTTGATGGATGGAGGACGACTCAGAGCTACGTGCAGCTGTTTTCTAATAACGGCGCCGCTCTGCTGCTGAATCTATAAATAGTCATATTTAGGTCAGCTTCCCTCACCTGTGGTCAGGAAGTGCTCGTTTAATTAACTCTACGACAAACACTTGGAGGGTTTTTTAGCTAAACCTCCCCCAGAAAAAACAGTCCAAACAAAGGTTACACAGAAACATATAATAAGTAGGACACAGGCCATGACTAATGTGAAGGTCTATGAAGCAGACAACAAATGGACGTAGCCACCATTAGCATGCTGAAGCCGCAAGTTTCTGGTCGTCGCCATCGTCTAATTTAGGAGGCAGAAATGACTGTATTTGGAACGCTGGGGTGCACAGAATGTTTCAGCGGGATAGAGGAGCGCTATCATGGTTTATCTCAGCTTCATTTAACACTCGTATGCTGCTCAAGCCTCAGAGAAGTCTCACAGTCACTGCCTAAGAGGAATGCATTCTGGTTGCATCGTGTTGTGTTTCGAGAGGTGGGCCGTCACGTTGCTCGCTCCTCAACGCCATAAAGTGGAGGTCGAGGCTACTTTATGCAAATGAGGTGCGTCAAGTGTAGGTCCGACCGTTGTTACTCTAAAAGGAGGACAGATTCAGCAGCTTTTTTCTTGTCTCAAATGTACCACAGCAACACGGAGTCTGATCGGAGACCACGCCGACTGTTACCCGAGAGAGAAGGAAGCGGCACCAACGTAAACAAAGGTGGAGGAAGAGTGTCCATGCTAAAGGCTAAAGGCTAACCCCTCCAGACCAGCTTTTTGGATCCTGAAGACACACCCTCTCATCTTGTTTGTACTGCTGTTGTATGTACAGCAACATGACAATAAACTTGATTTAAAGTTTTTAGAAATACATTTTGTCAAACTATTTTGGTCATTTAAAAAAAAAAAAAAAAAAAGTTTCAGAGCAAGCTGACAAGTTAGTCTGGTTTTAAATCCAGAGCCTCTAGTGAAGCGGCATCCAAACAGATGCAGCCGATGTTTGAGCGACCGTAGAGGAAGAAACTCTGGGTTGATTGCTGTTAATGAGCCATTGTGGGGAAGCGACTCAGTGTCTGAGGTGTAAAAACACCGCTGTGGGCCATCAGAAGAACCAGGTACTACGGCTAATCTACAGTACTTGAAGGGTGTATTATCTCGGAAAATATACGGTATGAGCAGAAGCTAAATAATAAATGACTTGGATCAGAGACAAAAATATGTGATCCCTATTAAAAATTATAATAAAACGACGGTTTTATCGTGCTAATTTTCTCTCTCTTATGGACTAAAAGCCTACTGCAACAGGTCCAGGACCATCTCCATGTACGCCGTGTCATGGCTGCACACTGCTAGCCGTGGTGCAACTTGTCGATTACAAAGTAGTCCCACCTTAAAACACACCTGCTTTATCACCTATTTTCCTCTAAATGGGGTTATAACATACAAAATAGACACCATGCTGTGGTAACGGAGACATGAAACTAGCGACTGAGACCACAAACTCATTAGCAAGACACTTGTTGAGGTCACAAATCAGGTGAGAAGTCGGGCTATTTTTTCATCATCAGACTTCTGAGGAGTCGCCCCCTGCTGGCAGACAGATGAAACACAGGTTTTGGTCACTTCACTGGAGGCTACGTCCATTTTTTTTAACATTCAGTCTGACAAACTCTGGATGAATGACTCACTGAATGAGCAGACGTCATTATGAGGAGAAGAAGGACCGACGATGCTCATGGGGACGATTATTTATAGCCTGAGTTTCAGCGCAGGATCAAACGGGAACAACTGGGACGTACTCCAAATTTCATGTCACCTATTTATTAACACTGCTCCTCCTGCAGCTCTGAGCAGGCGGCAGTCCAAGTTAAAACTCAGCCTCTTTAGTACGACATGTTGAAATGCTGAGGCCTCTTAAAAAGGCAAAACCCGATGAAACCTGGAACATGTGCAGCAGCGTTGTATTCTTTATGATAACACGTCTCCCCGTCAGTCCTCCCGATCAGTCAAATCTTCTCTTTTGTTTTTTATTTTAAATGATTAACTCGAGGAAGAACAGCCGATAACACACGTGAATAACTAAGCGTGATTTAATTTGTAAAGATGCTTCGTCTGCATGTTAATTATTACATCCTGATGCAATCTAGTCACATTCAGCGACTTTTAAAACAGGCTTCAGCTGCTTTTCGCTGGAAATAGCTGCTTCCACGGACTGACGGGAAGCCAGGAGATGTTTCGTTGTTGGCGTTTTAATGGAATGTGCTGACAGTGAGAGCCGTCCAGACGTTACCTGGTGATACTCCGACAGGATGTTGTGCATGTCGGCCACGTCCTCGCTGGAGATCTGCTTGACGACCAGCGTTCGGTCGTAAGAGTTGAGGAGCAAACCTTCTCCCTGATCGTCCACGCTCCTCATCGGGGGGCTGCGAGTCAGAGACACCTGGACGCATTCAGAAAACAATCACATTATTACAGTCAATTATTTTCTAAAGGCCACCCCTAACAGAGACCCCTTTTCCACCAAGAAGAACCAGGTGCTAGTTCTGTACTGGTTGCTTTTCCATTAACGAGGAGCCGAGTTAGAGCCATACGTTCTGCATACGTTTACCGAACAACGCTCGCGCCACACAGAAGTCCACACAGGACTCCAGACTAACTTTTTACTGATGTGACCAACTTTTTCATTTGGTCAAACCTCCCACCTGGTCACAGACAAAACATATGACCGGCTGAACATTTTCTTATCCATAGACTCTACAGTTTACGATGTTCCCTGAACGCATCACATAGCAGGCTGTGGTAGCTGCTGTTGGTGGCCGCGGTGCTCAGACCGATGTGCGACCAAAGATGACTTTAAAAAGACTAAACCAGGACGTTCTGATGTCAGATTGGTCCAGGATGAAACCGAGTCATTTTTTCTCGTGCGGTCTTTTCTATGAGCAGAATAAACAGCATGTAGCTGCGTTTTTCATGAGAAGACCTCATGTCTAAGCGTAAATACCGCAGTACGCCAAAGTTCTAACAGTCCTGTTTTCCACCACTGTGGTGCTGCTGGTGGGACACAGTTGGACCAGATTTGTGCAGAACTTCGGTGTGTCCCTGGATTCATTCAGTACATCTGTGATCTGACCAGAGACGTCCTGGAGAGAAACGACACAAATCACTGCTTGTGTGTCCCGTCCATCGGTCTCAGTGGTTACCATAACCCGCCCCCAGCCCCTGACGGTGCTTAGCTCTGGACCAGCAAATAGTTGGTGCCTGAAAAGCACCAGTTCTGAGAACCTGGAGCCGGTGCTTTGGTGGTAGAAACGCAAAGAACTGGTGCTAAATCAGGCACCAGCACAGAACCAGTTTGATGGAAAAGGGGCTAAGTGAGGCATCAGTGCACACCTGATAATCCAGATCCTCGATGCCGAACCGTTCCCTCAGATTCCTGAAGACCTGCGGACAGTATTCTTTAAACTTGAAGTGTCCCGGGAGGTTTTCTCTGTGAAAGGAGATGAAGCAGAAAAATTTACTTCTTGTGCCGACACACAAACGAATCATTCATCCTTAATCTGGAGTCCAACGCAGACTCCAGGACTTTGGAACTCATTTATATTCTGTGTGACTTTTTCTTTTTCCACAGAGACTTTCTCAAAGTTACATTTTCACAGCTCTCCTCTTTATTTATATGTCAGCCAACGCTATGCTAACGTGAGCTGGTGTGTGTTCATCTCACTTGTTGAAGAGGTGGTTGTTGACTTTGATCTTAGTGTTGGCTTTGAAGTCGTCGGGCAGCAGCATGACGGGGACAGGCACCTGGTTGAGATCATTGATCTGCAGGAAGGAGGAGAATCAAGTTAAAGTTTTTAAAGTTGAAAACAGAGATGCAACTCGTGATTTATGTCGTTTGTAGAGAAGAAACAAAACAGCTGACGATGCAGCCTTGGGCTTTAGATGGCAGGTACCTTTGCCGAGCAGTTGATCGATTAATTACAAAAAATAATCAGCAAACTGGTCAAAAATAAAATAATTACCAACAGCTATTATGTCTCTATTATGCAATCTGCTGATTATTTTTCCCCAGACAGCAGAGAAATCACAATTCAGACCATCACATGTTGTTTTGTCTGACAAACAATCTCCGAATCTGAACATCTCAATCACACGAGGAGGAAAAGCAGCAAATTTGTTTTAGGTGCATTCAAAAATTAGCCAATTTTCCACATGCATTTTTGGAAATTTCATAACATCCATCATCTATACACCTCTTAATCCTCACTGGGGTCATGGGGGGCTGGAGTCTATCCCAGCTGACTCAGGGTGAAGGCAGGTTCACCTGGACAGGTAACCAGTCTATCACAGGGCTACACTTAGAGACAGACAACCAAGCACACTCACATTCACACCTACGGACAATTTAGAATCACCAATTAACCTCAACATGTTTCTGGACTGTGGGAGGAAGCCGGAGAACCCGGAGAGAACCCACGCTGCACGGGGAGAACATGCAAGAAAGATCCCGGGTGTCCTCACTGGGACACGAACTCTAGCTGTGAGGCGACAATGCTAACCACTGATCTACCTGCAGCCCAATTTCATAACAATTTGGGGATTTTTATGAGACTGAACAAAACATTCAAAGGCATCTGAAGCTGTGACGGACATTTTTGTTGCCGAAAAAGAAAAGAAAACCTGATAACAGTATTTAGTGAGTTTTACAGTTTAATCACTAAATGAAGAGAAAAGGAAGAAAATTGTCAGATTCCCCTAAAAATGTCGTTTTTTTCTTCCTTGAAAATTACTTTAATCACACTAAATCCGTTTCATTTTGTGCCCATCAAGTAAAACAACAAATGCATTATTATTTTTTGTCATTTATCGACATTAATTTGAAAACAACTTATTGATAAGGGCGATTTGTGCTTTTTAACCGTGTGACATAAAGTTTGCAGCCTGAAAAGAAAACCGTGCTGGAAGCAAACACACGTCTAGAGGAAAAGCTGTACGAGGAGATTCTCCATCATTCACGTTTTAATAATTCATCATTAAAAGAGTTACTACAGGAGCTTCTCCATCGACGTAGCCGGAGGTTCTACATCCTCCGGATATTCTGCTACGTTCACCTACTGTACAACGTCAGGGTGTTAGCAGCTGCTGGATACTTTGGTTTTTCTGCTACGAAATGCAACCATGTGCAGCCTCAGTCCTTCACTAGGTTTCATCAACCAGCGACACTCATACATACGACGCTACGCTTGCTCGGCGGCATTCTTTCTCTGTTCAGATTCAGTGAAGTGATAAGAAGCGGTTTTCTTTTTGGGAACTTGTCCTTTTGTTGGACAGTCAGATAAAAAGGCAAACAAGAAATACAGAAGAGGAAACAACACGGTGGCATAAACAACAGGTTCTGGGACAGAACCATCCAGTGATCCTACAGTGAACAATGACAGATTCCAGCTTCTCTAATGTAAGAATTTATCACCTTATCTGGAGTCACATGACAGCAGATTGAATATTTGGAGGTTTTTATGAGACACCTGAAGGCATCTTAAGTTGTCACGGACATTTTTTTTCACATTTCTCCAATTAGACCACTTCACTTAACAATTAACTGATAATAAAAATAATCATTAACAGCAACGACGATAACAATATTTACTCGCATTGTCAAATGTTTAATCATTAAACACGACCTGGAACTGGGTAGAAAACAGACGAACGAATGGAGGCGGCATTAAACAGAAGCTGTTTTAACGTTGGTTAGGTTTCCATTCATCCATCATCTCTACACCTTAATCCTCACTAGGGTCATGGGGGGCTGGAGTCTATCCCAGCTGACTCAGAGTGAAAGCAGGTTCACCTGGACAGGTAACCAGTCTATCACAGGGCTACACTTAGAGACAGACAACCAAGCACACTCACATTCACACCTACGGACAATTTAGAATCACCAATTAACCTCAACATGTTTCTGGACTGTGGGAGGAAGCCGGAGAACCCGGAGAGAACCCACGCTGCACGGGGAAAACATGGAGACTCCACGTAGAAAGATTCCGGGTGTCCTCACTGGGACGTGAACCGGCGACCTTCTAGCTGCGAGGCGACGATGCTAACCACTGAACCACCTTGTTGCAACTTGCAGTGAGCGTGCTCAGAATTTAGGGAAGTAAACACCAATGGAGGAAACAGAAGTGTGAGCGCTAACTAAACTAGCATCAGCAGCCAAGTACTGCCTGTGTGTTCTGGACACTTCCACCCCGTCAGAGCGCTGCCCCGGGGTGGAAGTGACCCCCGACCGCACAGAATGTTCAGATATTCATCATTAACTGAATATCCAGAGCCCAGAAAGTGCTATTGGGACCAGCCCTACTAGTTATTATAACAACTATGAACAATAATTAACAACTAATGAGCCTTCCAGCATCAAGCCCTCCTTGTATCTGGACCTCCGTCTTGACAATCCAACAGCCTTGCTATCCGACATAGAAGAAGGTTTTACATTTAGTGTCGGATTATCGAGTCAGGACTGTATATACGGAAATGTACTGGATGTAATGAATACACACAACAAAAACCTAGATTTTAGTTTGCAGCAAGGACTGGCCACCCATGACCCTGCATCGCCCCACGTACATCGATGTGAGCTCATCCCATTATTTTAGTTTATTCTTACCGATGCATAAATTCATGTATTTGTGTCTCTTTTATTGTGTTAACATTACACATAATGCACGCTTTAAGCAAATTAATTAAAGTCTCACATTCAGGTTTTATCTCCTGCAGAGATGATTCACTTCACTGTGACCATAGAACTCCTGGTTTTAGTTCTGCTCAAAATGGGACGTTTTACTTTGAAAACCAATCAGAGCTGGACAACGACTGGTTAGTTATGTGTTCTATGGCACATGGGTGGAAGTCTTACTGGCCTGTAAAGCTGTGAGACCGACTAGTTGTGATGTACGCTCGAGGAAAATCAGAATGTTTATGGAAGACCAGGCTCATCCAAGTACCTCCCTACATTATTCAGGAGCCACTGATGACGGCCAAAAATGCAGGAAAAACCACTTTTATACTCTTTATCAGTATATTGTGTAACATCAGAAGAAAAGGCAAAAGATCTCCAAAGCAGCCATGGCTGAGCTTTTGTATGGAAAGGACTTTGCTACAGGTGTGTTGCTGCCTTGAATAAAACGTCACAGTTCGTCCTGACTTCTTTGTACCCGTCTATACATTCACATATGATGATTTATGAATGCAGTGCCAGTTATTGGACCGCGTTCTTGCATAATCTTTGCATGTATTCTGAGTCATGTTTGCAAAAGGCCTCAACAGTCTCTTAGTCTCATCTGCAGCATTTAACCAACTAATTTTTTGCTTTTGGACGTCTCACGTGTCGGGGACTCACACGTCATGTCTATTCTCTTTTAAATTGAAAAAATTGGATTTTTGTGCACAAGAAGTATATTTAAGTGAACAAGTTTAGAACGGAATTAAATCATACCAGATCACAGCTTTGTTAATATAAAGCTAAATGTGAAATCTTACAGAGGGGTTAATTTGAGTCACTTTGATCAGCACAAACTTGTTATTTATGCACACGGTTCACTATAATCTGACATTTTCATGTTGTTCTGACTCAGATAAAACAAACTATTTTACATTTTTATTTTAGTCAATTTGATTATTGCCAACTAATTTTCAATTAAGGGACCTATAGGACAAAAAATATAACTTTACTTTATTAATATTGATACTTAAATTCATGACATAAAATTAACATCAACTCAACAGGCAGAGTAGCAAAGAACTCAAGCTAGTTAGCTAGTGCTACGGAAAGCTACTATTATAGTCACATTATTAGCTTAATATAAAGTCAGTTAGTTGGCTAATGCTACAGCTAGCTATTATAGAGTGACATTACTAGCTTAATATAAAGTCAGCTAGTTAGCTAAGGCTACAGCAAGTTATTATAGTCACATTATTAGCTTAATATAAAGTTAGCCGGTGCTACAGCAAGCTAATAGTGCCTAACATTAGTAGCCTAACAACTTAGCTAATGCTACAGCAGGCTAATATAGATTCACATTATTGGCCTGACCTAAAGTCAGCTAGTTAGCGTTTTAGACACATAATATTAGATTATAACTGCTGGTTAACTTTATAGTTACTGCATTAGATGACAGAGAGCATAATTTATCAGAAATCTAACATTAGCAAGGCTGGAGTCTTAAAAATTATTGATGTTCATGGAAGGTGTGTTGATTTAAAAGTCCTACGCTCACATTTTCACATATTAAAGAAAAATAATGTGATTTTAAAGTTATTTTTTGCTCAAAGTAATCAGTAATCCTCCACCTGACTCTCATGTTAACAGTAAATAAAAGCTAGTATATGTATATTCTTATTTTAAAAAAACATACACAGAGACAGAATTTTTACAGAATGTTAAACCATCTGACCTCAAAACCACTTATTCTGATCTTCCCAGACAAGTGAAATGACTTCAATAATATATAAAGACAAGTAAGGTCATTATCATCTAGGACATGAACTGCCATGAAAACTGACTGTATCTAATGGTCAGGAGGGGAAATACATAGAAATATCTTATATCCTTTTAATTTATGAAAAATTAAAGAAACATCATTTTAGCATAATTTGCTTTAGATTTTTACTCAAGTAAGGGTTGCATAAATAAAGCTAATTACACACTATATGGGCTGTGATGTCCTTCTACATGACAGCTGTGTCTGCATGAACAAATTATAAAAACTGAACCACAATAAAACGACTGTTTGGCCTCCAGCAGAGAGATGAATAAAGACTATTAAGAAGGCTCTGTCCCACCTTACTGTGGTCCCAGCCTATCCCGCTCCGCCGCGAGCACCCTCCTCACCTTTAGCCGCTAGCGCTGCTAGGTGAGGCGGCTAATGGTACGTTAGCATGTACCAGAACGTTAGCTCCCACCGACTCACCGAGTGATTGACGCCCCACATGAACACGCTCAGGACCGGGTCGCTGGCTCGGAACACCTTCACCTTCTGCTGCACGAAATGCTTCTTTTTCGTCTTGGTCTTGGGCGCCAGGATCACCATGGGACTGGAGGTGGCCCCCGAGCTACTGAGGGCGGCCATGGCCGCGGACTGTCTCCCCTCGTCCCCCGGTGCAGAGCGCTGGTGCGGCGGTGACACTTCCTCCTCCTGACGGCGGCCGTTTCTCTCGCTGCTCGATCACACCGACAACCGCAGCCAAAGTCCACCGGCCAGCTCCGGTTTCTGTCACACTGACGCAGTTTCTCCGGAGCGCAATTTAACGAGTAACCCGGCAGGATGAATCATTACTTCCTAACTTCAGCCGGGCGTGAATTCATGTCTCCGGATAACAGTCCTCCACCGCCCCCTCCAGCCCGCACATGTTATCATCAACCACGAGGGCAGCTTATGATTGACAGCCGGCAGGAGCCAATCAGCATCCAGACTGTGTGTCAGGTGACCCTCGGGTGGGCGGGAACATCCTGGTTACATGGTGCGTTCAAGTCGTCGA